TGGCGACCTGCACAACAACAACAACAACAACAACAACAACAACAACAGCAGCAACAAAGACAACAACAAAAACAACAACAACAACCAGAAGAAGAAGAAGAAGAAGAAGAAGAAGAAGAAGAAGAAGAAGAAGAAGAAGAAGAAGTAGTAGTAGTAGTAGAAGAAGAAGAAGAAGAAGAAGAAGAAGAAGAAGAAGAAGAAGAAGAAGAGGGGCGGAGGCCATACCTGCATCAGCGGTACTTACCTGGGCGCCATAGCCGCGCTCCACGCTGGCGACCTGCAAAACAACAACAACAACAACAGCAACAACAACAACAACAACAACAACAACAACAACAACAACAAGAGGAAGAAGAAGAAAAAGAAGAGGGACGGAGGCCATACCTGCGTCAGCGGGCCATACCTGGGCGCCATAGCCGTGCTCCACGCTGGCGACGTGCACAACAACAACAACAACAACAACAACAACAAGATGGGCGGAGGCCATACCTGTGATAGCGGTACTTACCGGGGCGCTATAGCCGTGCTCCACACTGGCTACCTGCACAACAACAACAACAACAACTACAACAACAACAACAACAGAAACAACAACAACAACAAAAACAACAACAACAACCACAAGAAGAAGAAGAAGAAGAAGAAGAAGAAGAAGAAGAAGAAGAAGATGAAGAAGAAGAAGAGGGGCGGAGGCCGTACCCAATGTAACCATTTGAACGTGGTGAACGCGCGATCACGTTCAAATGTACGTTTGAACGCGGATTGCGCGTTCGCGTTCAAAAATTGAACGGCATTCAATTTTTTTAATTTTTTTAATCTTTTAAAAAAAATATTTTCGATGCCTAAAAATATTTTTTTTTCCTGATGTTTTTTTTTGTGAGGTCTATATGCTGTGGGCTACATGTCTGTAAATTTTGGAGTCATTTTGCCAAGGGAAAACAAAATTGAAAATTGCCAAAGATGGCGGTGTCAAATCATGTTCGCCCACGAAAGTTTTAAAGAACTTTTTTTTTTTTTTTTTTTTTCCTGCGCGGAATTGAACTCCGCGTTCGGTCGCGTTCACTGAACACGCGTTCATTCCGTTCAATTTCTGAACGGAAACCCCCCGTCAATGAACACGCGGTATCATAGGCCGTACCTGCGTCAGCGGTACTTACCTTGGCGCCATAGCCGTGCTCCACGCTGGCGACCTGCACAACAACAGCAAGAAGAAGAAGAAGAAGAAGAAGAAGAAGAAGAAGAAGAAGACAAAGAAGAAGAAGACAAAGAAGAAGAAGAAGAGGGGCGGAGGCCATACCTGCGTCAGCGGTACTTACCTGTGCGCCATAGCCGTGCTCCACGCTGGTGACCTGCACAACAACAACAACAACAACAGCAACAAGAAGAAGAAGAAGAAGAAGAAGAAGAAGAAGAAGAAGAAGAAGAAGAAGAAGAAGAAGGGCGGCGGCCATACCTGCGTCTGCGGTACTTACCCGGGCGCTATAGCC